AGGGGCTTGCCCTTATAGGAAGCTTTTCCCGAACCCAGCATAATATAAACCCTATTTAATTCCTTATATTAAATAGGAGAATTTGTCGGCCAATAGATTGGTTTCGCAGACCAAATGGATGTCATAACTTTCTCTAGTTTATTTGATCGAGCCTCACCCGCAATTCTTGTGTTCATCCTTCGGGATAGATACAGGATTTGAGGTAAAGCGCTCTTTCATCTAAATTATGAAAATTATGGGTTCAGTTTGACTTCATCTTTTTTAAAATTAATTTTTTTTTAAAATGTCCTTCCGAAGCGGGCAACGGGATTTCAATTCCGATGACCGACAGCTTCTTACGGGCAAACCCCACACCAAAAATAATGCCGACATGTGTCTCTCTGTGTGTGCGTGTGCTCGCGCGCACATGTATATAAATTTATATATTTATATCTATCTATATGTGTATTTAGACATGTGTCTCTATATGTGTCTGTGTCTATGTGTGTTTATATGTATATTGAATTTATTTAAAAATTTTTGCACCACGCTCATTGTGCCCTACCTCTCTTGCTCTTGTCCTCGCCTCACGTCACGCGTCTAGCTTCTCACAACTAAAATAAAAAGAAAACAAAAAAAAAAGAATTTCACACAGACTCGTTCTTCCTCTCAACCCACTGTTCACTTCTCACTTATGCAATTTGTTTTGCACCCCCCTTCACTCACAACAACGCAAGACTCAACCTACTTGACCCAAACAACTCTAGCACTCCCACTTCCACTTCTCTAGCGGCCCTTCACCATGCAACTAGCCTCCTCCCTTCAAATAAACACTATATAAATAATCGAGTGAAAATATTTTATAATGCAGCTAAAACTCCTTTTAGAAACCCAATCCAAAATTATTTGTATACTCTCAAGCAGGTTAGTCTAATCCTCCTCATCATAACAATTAAAGTTAACAAGATCAAGTCTATTTTTAGCCAAGCCCGATCATTTGCAAGCAAATATGTAGAGTTAACAATGTCTAAATAATGATAAAAATACTCAAACATCCAAATGATAATCGTGTCGATAAAGAGTTTTAACTTCAGGGGTTTATTTAAGGAAAAATGAATAATAAATCTCTTAAATTAAAAATACAAAATTAAAACATTCAAATGAAAATTTATTATCTAAAACAAAAAGCAAAATTTATTTATCCTCTGCACTAATTTGACAAGGGTAACAAACTTAAAATTAACCAAAACCACAAAGAGTTGATGTCATGTTGATTGAACTTATATTATCACTCTTAAATGATCTTAAACCAATAAGAATGAGGTTTGTGTCATATGTCTGCTTGATTTTACCACAAAATGACACCAGTAAATAATAGTCATGATTATAGCCCTTTGACAAGATGATTCACTATTAAATGCAACACTAAAGTATGATTATAATTATAACTTCTCCATGACTTTGCCCATTGATATGTGAAACAAAGTACATTTGGTCGAGCAATAGCCCTTTGTCAACTATGATTAACTTAAATGTGTCCCCTTATATGAAAATTCATACCAAACCTGTAAAATCTACTTAAAAGAAATAACTCTATGGTGTTGACATCGATTTTTTTGGTCATGATAAATTATCTCCTCTAACTAAATAGATCAGTGATCATGACAACTCAGAATGACAAAATCATAAAATTTTGATCAATTTTGTCATCCTTCCCTTCATCATTTACTCTAAATTAAAATAATAAATTTATCAAATCTACAACCTAACAGCTACAAATATATGTTGAATCCAAACACCTAGCACCCTAATAACTAGTCTTCATAAAAAATGCTCTCATAATCATAAGTGATGTTTAACTATAGAAGCTTATACCTATGAGAAACTTCAAACCATACTAAAAGGTTTTCATAAAATGAGTAAAATCTCTGAATAATGTCAAATTTAAATTCTAATATCTTCTAAAATTATGACCTGAAAAGTCACAAAACTCTCCATGATGGTTCAAGGCATAAATTTTCATAGCCCAAAAGTTCCTTAGCCACCTTTTGCATGAGTTTTCTTACAGATTAATACTTTTATGCATGATGATTTTGAATTCATGTAAGTAGCCCTTATTTTAATTTTGTCCTCATATAAAAGCTATAAATGCATGGGAGTTATAATTGTAGCCTCCTTAGTTTAAGCCTCCAAAATAATCAATGATGGAAATTAGAAACAAAGGAGAAAAACAAAATGTCAATAATCAAGGAGACAGAATGTGCAATAAATAAAAAATATCTTGTTGAATGTGACATGTAATGAGGAAATAAAAATAAAAAAAAATTTAACTCATCCATTACTATAATTTTATTTAATCAACTCTTTTTATAATTTTAAATCTTTTTGTCTTCATATATCTTTTTATTTTCTTCATGGCATAAAGCCAATGGCCATGAATTTTGATGATGTAAAATATTCTTTTTAAAATGCAATTTGAAATCTGCTTTTTTAATCAAAAATTAGCTTGATTATAAGTTTGTTCTCTCTTTGTTGAGATTAAGTGACGCCCTTCTTTTAGTGGGGGTGATGTAGTAATTCAATTAATTTACCACTAATTTTATGGTATTTCTTATGCCCTTATTTTAAAATTCTTCGAATTTTTAGTGTGCTCTCTCCTAAGATGTTAATATAAATGTCTCCTCAAGCTAAAAATAGCGTCTACATTCCACATGTCATATGTCTATGTTCAATCCAAATGTCTTGTGAGCGCCCAAATGATAGAGCTTCGGAACCAAGGAAGAGAAAAGGGTAGAGAGATAGAGAAAGAGAGAAACTTAGCCCTTAGAAGGGCAAGGAGAAGTGTTCATGGTCTTTTTGGCCCCTTTTATTTCTTAAAAAATAAAGTTTACAAGAGAGGGGAAGGGGAGAAAGATCTCCCCACATCAAGGGGTGAGAGAGAGGAGAGCCTAATGACCCTTTACATGTTATAGAAAGAAAAAAAAAAGGAAAAAGATATTACAAGATTACCCTTGCTTTAAGGGGGGTAATAGATGTTAATTTAGTCTTTTCTATTAGTGCATATTGTTCAGGACCTCGTCGACCGCTGGAATTTGGCTTCAATTGGCAGCGAGCTAAAAAAGTGGTTGGGTGAAAGCAGGTCGGGTGGAAGTTGGTCAAATGAAGTTGGCCTGGTGGAAACTCTTTGAGTGGAAGTTGGTCGGGTGAAATCGAGCGGGTGGAAGTTGGTCGTGTGGAAGTTGGTCGGGTGGAAGCTGGCCGGGAGGAAGCTGGCCGGGTGGAAGCTGGCCGGGTGGAAGCTGGCTGGGTGAAGTTGACCAGGTGAAGCAATTTGGGTGGAAGTTGGTCAGGTGGAAGCTGGTCGGATGAATCTAGTCGGTTGAAGCTAGTTGGGTGGAAGCTTGTTGGTTGGAATTATGCCAGGTTGACTTAGGCTGATGAAATTGGGTATGGTGGAAGAAGTCCGGCTCAAGAATTCCGGTTGGATGGGTGTCTGACCAAGTAGTACCGACCGGCTGAGTGGTTGGCACGGTCACCAGAAGCGAGCTTGCAAGTGTCTGGTTAATCGTTAGGTCGGTGGAAAACCTCCATGTCATTTTTGTGTCAAGCAGCTAATTTATAATAGAAGTGTCAATGCTTAAATATTTACATTTTTATTTTATTAATTTTATTTATGTGTCTCCTACCACTTTCCTTCCATGGTACTAACAAGTAGAAAACCTCGGTTATTTTTCTATTAATTATGATATCATAAGCATTTTAATTACTTAAATAAATGAATGAATTAGAGGCTCCCTAACCTATTACATTAAAAAACTCATAGAATTGAACTCTCTTATTTTGGATCCAAGCAAGCCTTGTAAGAAAATTTAGAATCGGATTAAAAACTCATTTGGTTTGATTTATTAATTGCTTGGTGACAACAAAATAAAAAACAATGGCAATAGTGTACATCACATTTGGATAAAAAACTTAGTGTTCAAAAAATTTGCTTTGATAAACCTCTGTAAGAATGAAGTTTTAAAACTACTCCAGCAGCCTACTGTGTTGTATCTTCTCGACCTTTTAATGTAAAAAATAAACCAAAACAAGGGAGCCCTAAATAAAATTTCACCAAAACAGCTCGTTTGTAAGATTGAATAATCATATGGATGTAAAGCTATGTGAGATATCCATCCTATCCTACAATTGAAACTAAATAAAAACCCTAGTTCATATAAATGGATTACTGGTAAACCCGAAACCCTAAACAAAATAGAAGAAAATACATACACTAGGTGATGAACCATAAGTACCATACTATAATAAGCAGGAAAAACCAGTGGCAAATGCAGAAAAGGATACGCAGACACAAAATACCATCAAATTAATAAGGAAATTAAGTAGGACAAAATTTCAAACAGTTTTTAAAAAAAAAAACAGTGGAAGAACTACTTTTTTCAGCTATTAAAAGAAAACATTCTATGACGACAAAACAGGTTGATACATTAAACAAATCACCTAAAAACATGTACTTCTTTGCAAACAGGAAATAATTTTCTGAACAATGACACCGTGAGATGATGATGACATACACTTAGTTACGATCCCTTCAACACAAACCATGGATCCAATGAATGAAGACATGAGATCCCTTGGCGTGACCTTATGGAAACCAAAGGGGCCGCTAAATCCCACCAGCACTCTCTCCCCTTCTTTTAGGTACTTCGGGTCCACATTTCGCGTGACCTCCGTTAGGGCATCGGAGATCGGTTGCATGTAATCCATCGGATTTCGAATCAATCTAGAGAGCACAAGGAAATATAGAAGAAAACTAACTCAATGGCCAAGCTAGTAGTAAAAGTTAGGGTTTTGACCTTCGGGAAAAGTCCAGACTATAGCTGCGCAGATCATCCATGCCGACAATCAAGCGGCAGCGCTTGCTCTGGATCATATCCCTTATCGCCTTCAAGTAGAACCCCTTCCCCACCTAACACAAAATCCCCAAAAAATACGGATCAATTAGGCACACGAATACTAAGAAGCTGGAAAACAAATTTGGGATTTGGACAAAGATGAAACCTACGTCTTGATCGAGGAAATTCAGAAAGGCGCGCTTATTCGCAGCCATCACCTCCTCGTTGACGTCCATTTCAGCTGAACTAGAGAACCACAAAACTAGAGATGGTAGCCGGAGAAGACGATAGTGGAGGAGAAGAGGAGTAACGGCTGAACTTGTTTCCTCTTTTTTATCAAGAATAATTCCACAATATAATCTTTAGGGCGGGAAATGAGAGTGAGAGCAAGTTTTGGCGGGAAAGAAGATTGTGCGCTGATGATGCATCCATCGGTTGGCTGCCGTGCTGCGGCCTGCCCCTATCTTAATGGAAAAAAATTTGCTTAGTATAATTCCTTGTAATCTCCATGTAACGTTCTGTAACTTATTTGTAACCTACTAATAAATTCTTAATATATGATAACAGGAGCGCGGAACTTATTTGTAGGTTACAAGTATGTTATACTATGTTACATGGAGGTTACAAAGGATTATAACGCGGGTATAACCCACTTATACCCTTCGTATAACCTCGAGATCTTACGCAACACTGCGTACGTCTACCGTACGCAATTTTTTTCCCTCTTAATCGGCCTTGGGCTCGGATTACGTCTCAGGCTTCTATTTGAATAAAGTTGTCATGATGGACATGTGGTGAATTGATTAATCTTGGATTAATATTTTAGTTGAGGATGATTTTTTTTTAAGTATTTCCGTATACACTCTGGTATTTATTTTAAAAATCTACAGTTTACTTTTTTATATTTATAGCACTCAAATTTTTTAATAACACATCAAAAATATAATGTTATTAGTTTTTAAAAAATGAAATACAATTTTAAGTTTAGACAAAATAATATAAATGAAAACAATTAAAATTTAGATATTAGATATTTAAATACATAGGAATTGTGTGGTATGCATGGAAATCTTTCTTGTTTTTTAAACTTTTATTTTATTAATAGTTTCAAGTACTATTTTTAGTCATGGTTTAATTTTTTTTTTTTTTACTTTTACTTTTCTAGTGGTTTAAAAAAAAGTAAAATATTTTATTTATTTTCTTTAAATATATATTGGATATAATATGATCAAACACAAATCAAGATATAATATTAAAATTGAACATTTCTAGGTATGATAACCAACCCAAATCAAAAGAAAGTAGAGGGGCTCAAGAAAGTTATTGAGGGCGGGTCTTTGATTTCGTTGGGGTTTGGAGATCTTTTCCCTTTTCTTTCCTCTTCTTGAGGAGATCTTAGGGATTCTCTTCATGTATCCTCGTTGTTGGTCTTCCATAAGGATTTTTGGGGCTCTGCTACTTCCTTTCTTCTTGGTTAATCATTTTTTCTCCATTTTCTTCTTCTTCTAACCATTATTTACTTTGATCGTTGCCTTCTTTTAATTGACAAGACTTAACAACGCCATACTTTGCTAGTAATTATAATTTCCCTTATTCGTCTAGCACATATGATATAGTTTCTTATTTGAAAAAAGAGATTAACACTGGCCATAAATAATGGAACATACCGCTTATGAGATATGTCTTTAAGGAAATTTTTGTTTAATGTTATCAAGAGAATATGGGCGCTAAAAGGTTTTATTGAACTTCTATCTATCATGAAGGGATTCTTTTTACTTGAATTTAATAGCACAAAAGATTTTGATGTTTTTGTCTGGTGCTTCCTGGTTTATCTATCTTAAACATTTTATTTTAAACCTTAGAATTTTGATTTCAAACCTGTTAGGAAGAATTTTAAAGATGTTCATATTTAGGTTATATTTCCTAACATGCATTTGTGTTTGTGGTTTGAGAACCACATATTCAAAATTACTGTTAAGATTTATATACCTCTTTCATATTTAGGTTATATTTCCTAACATGCATTTGTGTTTGTGGTTTGAGAACCACATATTCAAAATTACTGTTAAGATTTATATACCTCTTGCTGTTAATTTTTTTAACTACCTTTGGTTCTCGCCTAACATTTGAAAGAGTTAGTGTTAAAATTAGTATTGATTTGTCTTTCTTGGTTGTATTATTCTTAATATTAATGATATGGATTTTGTTCAATAAGTTATTTATGAATGGATGTGTAATCCATGTAAATCTTGTTCTATATATGTGCGTAGTTCATTAAATTGTCCTAAATCTTGTGGTCAAAAGCAAGCTGCTATGGTTCCTACTTATAGAGGTAGGAGTAGAAACATGTCAAAATAAGACTATTACAAGTTATAGTAATTTGGTTGTCCATGTTCCTCGCATAACATCGGATTTTCAGCTAATGGTACTAATCTTGTTATGGTTGATAACAACGTTTTACCTTTGATCATCGCTTAATCTATTCCCAATGATGATTTTTTACATGTTGCCTCTTATCTCAATTTTTTTTGCTGATAACTCGGGTAACATAGATTTGCATGCTGATCAAGTGAAATATAGTGAAATATATGAAGTGGTTTCACGTACCAATAATTTAGTTCTTAATGACATTTATATCTTGCAAAATGATGTTGATAATTCATTTGTTTACATTAGGAATGACAATCATATTTTTGAGGATTATATAGTTGATTCATTTATTGTTGGTTCACCACTTATTATTTCAGATTCTATACATTTTCGAACTACTTTTTCTAAAAATAAAAAAAGGTAAGTCGAGAAGACCTTCCTAGTTTCTTTTTTTTATTTTTCGTTTTATATTTTATTTCATTTTTTTTTTCTTACAAAACTATATAATTTCATTGATTGGAATGTTAGGGGTTTGAATAATGTGGTTCATTTAACTGATTGATAAAAGCTCATTAAAGATAACCATATTGATTTTATTTGTCTTATTGAAACAAAGATTTCTATTGATAATCTTTTGGATTTTAGACATTCAAGTTTCTTTGATATGTTAAATTTTTATGATATCATCAATAAATTTACTTATGTTGATAATGGTAGGATTTTGATTGAATGAAACTCTGGTGTTATTTATTTTTTTATCTTAAACAAAAGGCATCAATACATTCATGATATTATTACTTATTCTTCTTTTAACATTTTGCTATTGTTTGTTTCATCGATGGTAATGTAGTTGTTAGGAAAGATTTGTGGGAGTTTATTAATTGTATTGTTGATAATATGACAAAATTGCTATTAATATTTGATGATTTTAATTGTATTTGTACTTTGAAAAGAAAGTTGGAGGTAATCCTGATTTTCCTAATATATATGTTGATTTTAATAATTGCATTACCTTTGCTGATATTATTGAGCATCTTTAGTGTGGGTATTCTTTTAGTTAGTTTAATAATCAACTAGTAATCCCATTAATATTTACTTGATATGATTTTATGCAACTCTAATTAGAGAAATATTCTCCTTAACTCATTTTTCAAATTTATAAATTCTTTATATTCTGATCATCATCCTATTTCCATTAACTTGGATAATTCTAATGAGCTTTTTTGTAGATTTAATCGTCATTTTTAATGACTTTCTCCTTTTTTTTTCATATTGTTCATAGGGCTTGGTTTTGTCTTGTTGAGAGTTGTTGGATTTTTTGTTTTTTACAACAAAGTTAAGAATGCTTCAAAAATTTGGAATTGAAATTCTTCAAATCTACTTCATAGACATGTTGATGTTCTCATTAATAATAAGAATTATGATACTAATCAATATAAACTTTCCCTTATTTCAAAAATCTTCTCATGCAAGCTTCTATTTTGTAGAGTGATATTTTTAAAGCTACTATTTATTATTATAAATTTATAAAACAAAGAGCTAGATGCAAATAACTTTCTAAAGGAGAAAATAACATTAATTTTTTTTATATTAAAAAGCTAATAGTATGTGTAATTCTAATTATATTAAAGAGAATTTTGTTTATAATGTCCATATTGATAAACCATGAGGTATTGTAAACGAAGTCATCTCTTGATTTGTTTAATATTCTAAATAGTAACTCAACTTTTTATTTTTGTCATAATCATTTATTTTCTAATAGATATTCTATCAATAAAAATTATTGTGTGGCTCTCACTTTCAATTTTTTGAATGATGATATTAAATAACTTTTTTTTATTAGTTTAGATAAAATGCCTAGGTTTGATGGTTTACATCAAAATTCTTTGAAGATGCTTGATATTTTACCAGTATAAATTGTATTTCTACAATTAGATATTTCTTTAAAAATTTTAAGCTTTCTTCGAAGGTTAAACATATTGTTATTACTATCATTCATAATGATGCTAAATCCCTCAATGATTATATATCGAGTTCTCTCTAACATGATTTATAAGGTTATTGATATTTGATTATCTTAAAACTATTCTTTTTATAATTAGTCATCCAACTCTGACTACTTTTATAAATGATCATGATATTTTGTTTAATATTGTTTTAGCTAATAAGTTTATTTATGACTTTAATTATTCTAATTTTGCTAAGACGTTTTATGCTAAAATTTATTAGTCAGTAAGTTTAGATTGCATGTTCTAAATGTTATTACTTTTATGCATAAATATAGATTATTTGGAAAAATTTTTATGTCTGATTCTCTTATGGCCAATTGGTGTTTAATCATTATGGTATATTCGAGAGAATTTAACTCAAACCTTCTATGTTTAAACTTTTCATATTTAAGATATATCCACATGCTTATGAATTACATTTTTTTTTTCGCACAAATAAAAGGGTTTTGTAAAATATTTTATCATTCAAAGAGTATTAGTGATATGAACTTACTTAAATATGAAATGCTATACTTGAAACGCCTCAAGACTTATATGTTAAAAGTCTAAACTGTTGAATCTCATGCTCTTGAGAATGAACACTTCATTCTAAAAAAACCATATTCTAAGATGTTTTGGAAAGATATTAGTAGAGTTGTTTTGAAAATGAAATCTTCTTTTAACTTTTTATGTAAATTCTAATAGTTTTTTTTTTTTCTTTTATGACAATTACCTTTCAAGATCTACTCTTATTGATATTTATGGGAAATCTATTTTTTATTGCTTTAATCTTGATAGAAATACTAAACTGCATGAAGTTATTAATAATGGAATTTGGAATTTATCTCCTAACATTTCGGCTTTTATTCAGTGTATTCAAGCTATTTATATCGCTCATATTATTAATGGTCTTACTTGCACTTAAAAAAATAAGAACATTTAATCTATATAGATATTTATTGCTTATTTTATCAAAATTTGCCTTATGTGTATCGGTTTAAATCGATCTGGTTTAAGGGATATTCTATTAA